GGGCACAGGATGCAGCACCGATTGGAACTGCATGGCAAGCACAGGGGCACCCTGGGTGCCACTTGGACATGGCACATTGGGGGGAACAGGCTAAAATGCTGATTGGAACTGCATGGCAGGCACAGGGGCGCCCTGGGTGCCACTTGAACCCGGCACATTGGTGGGCACGGGCTGCTGTGGAGGTATGAATTGAAAGGCTGCCATGGGAATAGGAGCACCCTGGGTGCCACTTGGCACTGGCACACTGGAGGGCACGAGCTGCGGCGCCATTGGGAACTGCATGGCAGGCACAGGGGCACCCTGGGTGCCAGTTGGGCCCGGTCCAGCGCCCGGCTGGTGTCTCTTACTCTGTGGGCCTTGCAGCTTCATAAGGTTGTTCCACTTCCTCTTCGAGGGCTGCTGCGATGTCCCTGCAGCCTGTACAGGGTTCGTCTGACCCTGGGGTGCAGCCACCACGGCACGTGGCTGGGTCACGGGGACACTGGGTGGATCCACCTCCATGTCACTGAGTGGTTCCCCTTGGGATTCAGCATCCATGTCGCTCAGTGGTTCCCCTTGGGATTCCGCATCCATGGACCGAATGCTCCTCCCGCAGGACTCAGCTTCCATTGATTCCACGTCACGAAGACAGGCCTGCGTGTCCTTGGTGGATACAAGCTGGCCATCATCAGGGGCTTGTGGCACCCCTATGGCTGCGGGTGCAGCTGGGGTGGGCACTGCTTCTGGTTGCTGAGGCGGAGGGGCCCCCTTCTGGGGCGCTGGGGCCCTCTTCTGGGATGGGGCGGGGGTCACCGCCCGGCCATGAGGGGTCTTTTGACCTAGCAGGGCCTGACAGTGATGCGTGCCCCTCTGGAAGCAGGGGGCTTTCCATGGACAGTAGACCACTGCCTCGCCCCAGTCCTCTTCCTGGCGAGTGGGCCATCCGTGCTGGTCAGAGGGGACTAACTGCAAGCCCTGGGGGCGAGCCTGCTGGCCATAGTGGCCCTGGCCAGTGCGCGGGCCTAGCTGGCTATGGGAGACATGCCCTGCCCATAGGCCCCCGTGGGCTGGCCACTGGACCCCGTTCGTGGGTAATAAGTTGGTGGGCCGTGGAGATAAGGCCCCGGGTTGTAGGGATAAGGAGCGTGGGGCTGAGGCTGCCCCGGAGAACTGTGCCCACAGTTTCCCTGTGTGCATGGCGCCTGGGCTGGTCGCAGCATCCCCAGGTCCTGGTGGAACCACATGTTGGACGGTCTCTGCATCATACCGGGTCAGGGCTCTGCAGATCACAGGCCACACTCAGACCCTGGCAGCCAGAGACGCACACCCTTTCCCTGCCAGTGGGGCTCTTCCTCCAACTTTGGGGTCTCTGGGGTCACACAAAAACCATTTTGTTTGGTCGACTTTGCGGCTACGCCCCATGGTGCCCAGGGCTGACTCCAGGTCTGCCTCAGGGGTCCCTCCTGGTGTGTTTGGGGGCCCATCTCTGGAGCCCGGGAGCAAGTTCAGGCCATGCAAGTCAAGTGCTGTCAGCCCAGGTGATACCTCTTATCTGGGGACTCCCGTCCTACTCCTTATGGGCTCCCTGAACTCCTCCCACTGTGCTCCCACCTTGGGTTCCTCCCTTGGGATTTCCCACCCTCCTCCCTGGGGACTCCCACACTCCTCCCTATGGGCTCCCTGGACACCTGCATCTGGACTCCCAACCTTCTCTCTGGGAACTCCCACCCTTCTCTAGGGGATCCCCTCCCTCCTCCCTCAGGTCTCCCACCCTCCTCCCTCGCAAATCACAGCCTCCTCCCTGGGGGCTTCTCTAATCCCCTCTCGGACTCCCACCCTCCACCCTAGGGACTCCTTGCAGTATTCCCTCTGGACTCCCACCCTCCTTCCTAGGGGCTCCACTCCCTCCTCCCTCGAACTCTCATCCTCCTTCCTAGGTGCTCCTTGGACTCTCCCCTTGGGACTCCCGCATTCCTACCCTGAGAATTCCCTCCCTTCTCCCTCGAGACTCCCACTCTCCTACCTAGGGACTCCTTGGAGTCCTCCCTCTGGTCTCCCACCCTCCTCCCTGGTGACTCCCTCCCTCCTCCCTAGAGGCTCCCTGGACACCTCCATCTGGACTCCTAACCTCCTCTCTGGGGACTCCCACCCTCCTCTAGGGGATCCTCTCCCTCCTCCCTCAGGTCTCCCACCCTCCTCCCTAGCAACTCCCAGCCTTTCTTCTTGGGGACTCCCATCCTACTCCCTAGTGACTCTCACCCTCCTCCCTAGGTGCTCCCCGCTCTCCTCCCTGGTCACTCTCAACCTTCTCCCTAGCTGTTCCCCAATCTCCCTGGGAATTCCCATCATTTTCCTAAGGACTCCCCATTGTCCTCCCTTGTGGCTCCCCACCCTCCTCCCTTGGAGTCCCCTCTTCTGTCCAGGGGCTTCCACACCCCCTCCCCTGGGGCCTCCCTCCCTCGGGCTGGCCCCGTTTCCCTGACCCCTTGTCCCCCATCCATGCAGCCCCAGGTCTCTGCCCCCCCATTGTCCACTCACCGTGGGCGGAAGGTTCGCAAAGGGGGTGATCAAGCTGTGGGCAGGTGCGGGTCTGTTGCGGAACAGTCAGCGGGCAGGCCCAGGCGCTGGGCACCAAGCTGGGCCTGGTCTGTCGTGAGAATTCATGTCCCGTGTTGGCAACCAGTGTCACAGCAGGAGTGTGCTTGTAGGGCGCATCCCTAGGAACCAGCGTTCCTTCTAGGATACCATTAGTGATGTGGCGCGTGGCTTCAGAACTTGGGGTTCAGGGGTCCCGCATATTGGAACCTCCCTGTGCTTCCACCCCCGCCCCCACCATATGTGCGTATGGGAACATCAGGAGCACAGAGTGGAGGCCACGTGGGCTTGGGTGCGTCCAAGGAGTGCCCGGGCGCGCCGGGGCGCAGCTTCTGGCAGAATTCAAACCTCCCCGGTAGCCTCACGCGCCCAGTACTGGGTCAGGCTTCATCCCATTGGTCCTGCACGTGCCGGGCCTTCACCCCTACCCACACCCCCAACTCAGAACTTTGTGCCCTGGCGCTCTGCGGCCACCTCTGCGCACTCTTGGGCATCTTCCGAGCAATGCGGGGTGCGCCCAAGGTATGCGTGTGTTTAAACACTAGTCCTTGAAGTAGGGTCCTTGGATTCCCTCTTAGGATTTAGGGCAGGGTTTGGGCGGAGATACTCATGGGACTGGAGCATAGAGGGATCCTTGGACTGCCACGCCCCCTCCCCTGGGCTGCCACGCCCCCCTTGGGCCTCCCTTCCTCCGACTCACCCCGTTTCCCTGACCCCTGGTCTCCCTCCCTGTATCCTGGGGTCCCCACCCCGCTGTCGCAGGTCTCTACCACCCCCTCCTGGGCACTCACTGTGGGCGAAGGGGTTGGAAAGGGGGTGATCAAGCTGCGGGTGTGTGGCGGGCGGGTCTGAGGCAAAACACACATCAGGCAGCGCCAGGCGCTGGGCACCAAGCTGGGCCTGGTGTGTTGTGGGAATTCACCTCCTGTGCTGGCGACTAGCGTCCCAGCAGGAGTGTGCCGGTGTGGCGCGTCCCTAGGAACCAGGGTTCTTTCCAGGATACCCTTAGTCACGTGGCGTGTGGCCTCAGAACTCGGGGTTTGGGGGTCCCGTGCGGTGGAACCTCCCTGCGTCCCCCCATGTGCGCGCATGGGACTGTCGGGCACACAGAGTGGAGGGTGCGTGGGCTTGGGTACTTCCATGGATTGCCCGGGCGCAGCGTCCTGCAGAATTGAGCCTCCCCAGAGCGCCCAACCTGCTCGGAGGTCGGGGTGTGGGTGAGGCCCAATGGGAACAGGGCACAATGGAGATTTGGGGTGCATTGGGGGAGGTGGGGACCAGGCAGGGACTCCAGGCCTGAGATGGTGCTGAAGGGTGCACCCCACGGGCCTGGGAGTTTTGTTTGCATCCAGCTGGGGTCCCTCCCATCGAATAATTCGAGTTGACCCTATTTGTGTTTATTGGCAACAAGGTCAGCCCACTCTGTTATTGTTGTCCCTAGTATGAAGGGAGGACAGCGTGGGTATCATTCGGACAAACATGGATATCTTAAATAATGGTTAGTCATGACCCAATTGTTTGCACGGTTGACTTACTTGCCTAGGTCCAGTTTACACACACCAGACATTCAAATAGTGAGCTGGTTCCCAATGGAGAACCTGTGAAAACAGCAATGCAGTGTGAACATGTCACCTGCTTTTATGATGGGGCTCGAGGGCCACAAGCGGCTGTGCCTTGGCCTGCTTAGCACTGCTCAGACATCTCCCCTGGCAATGCTCGGGTACAAAATTCTCGAATTTAGAGGGGATGTCTAGGAAACCTCTTACCCCTTGGACTTTCATTCTCAGCCCTAAACAACATAATTTTGTTTTTAAAATCTTTTTAATTGAATCACTGTGAGATGGACCCTTACAAAGCTGTTCATGTACAGTGTTCCAACTCCCGTCACTCCACCAGAGCACATTTCAGTGTCCCCAATTTCCCTCCTGCCTGCCACCCCCTACTCTGCCTCTGTGGCAGGCACTCCCCCCCACTTTCCCTCTCCCTCTCCATCTCTCTCTCACTTTCTCTCTCCCCTGGCCCCCTGGACCTGCGTGCACAGTGCACAGAGTTTTGCCATTTTTTTCTGATTCATTTCTATCTTCCCTTACAGTTGTTATTCTCTTAGGTGTTGAGAGCGTCTTTTTCATTTTTTTTAATCGAATCACTGTGAGATATAGGTACAGACTTACAAACTTTCATGGTTACATCTCAGTCATACAATGGTCGAGTACTCATCCCTCCACCAGTTCCCATTTTCCACCCCCAATGATCCCAGTATCCCTCCTTCCACTCCCACCCCTTCCTAACCCCTGCCTCTGTGGCAGGCACATTTCCTCCCACTCTCTCTCTTCCTTTCGGTGTTATGTTTTGCAATACTAAGAGGCTATTATGTTTGGTCCTTAGTCTACTAAGGACCAATGGTATGCACATTTTCCCTTTTTGTATCAGGAAATAATGCCTGCACTGAGGCTCACTCTTCCCCTCCTCCTAAATCCTTCCACAAAAAGGTCCTTGCCAGGGCTGGCATCCTGAAACCCTAAATGCTTCTTTAAATTCGCTTTCTCTGGTTCACTGAGCACGGTGTCTGCGGAATTCCCATTGTGGGCCAGCGTGGCCGCCTCTATTCTCTTCCGCTCTGGGCGCAGAAATAATCCCTTGCTAGAATCTTTTGAGAGAGGCACACAACTTCGCAGGCTAATTAACTGTGCACCTCTACATCTCGGAAATATTGCATGAGGTTGCGTGGCTGCACTCCCGTGGCTCGAGCCTCCACTCGTGCAGATGGCTTTCCAGGGGCCGTGGGCATCCGGGACTGGTTGGTGCATTTGCACTCTTTGTAGGCAAGCTCCTAGACCTGCCCTCTTCTCCACTCACCCTCTGCTCTCTGTCCCACACACTCCGTGTTTGTTTCCCTGTTTTGTTTCTTTGTCACTCTGAGACAAAAAGATGACCATACCCCTTAGAACTTTTGTTTTCCAACTGGTAATGGAGAACATTATGAGGAGGCACACACGCCGGCAGAATGTTAGGGCACAGGCACTGGGAACTCCTCTCCAGCTCAGTTCTGCATGGCTCTGCACAGGCCGGCCTCAGCAGCTGCTCTCTGGCACCCAGAGAAGCATCCTTGAAGAGGCACATCTTTGCCTGGACAATGGCAAGCAGCACACTGTAGCCCACAATGTCCTGTCCCGGGAGCAGGCACACATGGCACTGGCCAAGGTACGGGCTGTGTCCGGGCAGGGAACACAGCAGCTCGGTTGTACCCGCCGTCCCTCTGGAAAGGAGCCTGCGGCTGGACATGGCAGGGCTCAGCTCTTCCAGACACGCCTGCACCGGGCGGCAGCAATCAGCCCACGAGACTTCACTTCTCAGCGTCCCTTGGTGTAAAATCTTATCACGCTGAAGGTTGTGTGTTCACAGGTTCACTGGATGGCACTGTCTCACTGCCTGCGTTTGGTGCTCTTGAGCCGCTGTGTATGGTCTGGATCAGAACGGCTGTTGCCAAGGGCAGACGGAAGAAGAAACGAGGGCCAGGCCGGTCTATAATAATAGTAGTTTATTCCAATCCTCTTCACTCCTTTCTTTCTATGCATCCTTCTCTCCTGGGCCCCAATCTTGGAACCTCTCTCCTTCTGGCTCTGACTCTGGATCTCTGGAGCCCAAGCTCTCTCGCTTCTGACACTCTCCCTTCTCCGAGCTTACGTCTTAGTTTATATAGCAGTCACATAAGGCGGTGACATAAAGGTGGGTTAAATACTGATGAATCAACAAAGAGAGGTAAGACCTCTCCTCCAGAAGATTAACTCAAGGATAAAATCTCATCTACAGAGATTACTTCAGATTATTAGGAGATCCGCTCAAGGGTGGGATCCCAACAAGGGTGTGGTCTTCCCTCAGTTAGTAATCTACTTAAATTGCTCGAGCGGGCCCAGTAACGTCTCCACTGGAGACTTTGTTGTTTCTGTGTTTGGCATATCGGATACGTCACGGGGAGCTTGCCAGGTCTGCTGTGCGGGCGAGATACTCTCGGTAGCTTACCAGGCTCTCCAAGAGGGGTAGAGGAATTGAACTCGGGTCGGCCATGTTGGCTGCATGCAAGGCAAATGCCCTGCCGCTGTGCTATCGCTCCAGCCATCGTAATTAATCTACTTCTAATATTTCTAGCAATGTCATTCTGTTTGAGCACAGTAAGAGATATAAATTTAGTTTGGTTCTTCCTGAGAACATCTCACTATACATTCCGCAGTCCTCAGGCCAGGTTAATTTTCCTAGCTCCAGCAGGTTCCTAGTCTCGTCGTTACTTACTTTTGAATCATGACAGCATTTGTCCATGATCATGCCCTCAACTTATAGTTGAGTATCATTACTCTTTGCCCTGGCCCATTTCGATGCCAGGGTAGCTCACTGCTTGCCCTGGGTCCATTCAGTCCTTCGTCGGGACCCTGCTTTTGGGGTGCTAGGAACTAAGGGCAACTGAGTCAAGAAATCAGATGCCCAGGAGTAAATATTATTCGGAGTCAATCAACTCCCAAGTTACAAAGCATAATATTAACTGTCTTCCTGTGTCCACACAGAAAGGACATTGCTTACAATACAAGTTCAGTGTCCTTAGATGGGTGTAACCTGACAAACCTAAGCTACCTGAGGAAGGACAAAAGAGTGTTATCCTACACCTTGGGGCACACCCATGCATTTCTCGTCTTTGTGGCGAAGCACGGAAGTTCCCACGCACCACAGCTGTGTCACGGCTGCTGGGGCTCTTGTGCTTCAGGGGGGCTAAGGGACGTCTGGGTGTGGCTTGGGATTTGGCGGGAGCAGAGAGTGTCTCTCGCTGCCGGCTTTGCAGCTGTGTCTGTCCTGAGCACGTGACGCTGGTGCTGTGATTTGCGTTCCATACTCCCGTGGGAGCCAAGAGAGTATACCAGCCCTGGCATTAAAGTGTGGAACAGAGTCGCTGTGATGCTCAGGGACCACGAGAAGCCTGAGACTGAATCAGGGAGGTAGCCGTGGAAGGGCGTCTGTCTTAGGCCCTGCACCGTCCCTCTTGGCCCCAACACGCCGGTTTTGTTATAGGCCACACCCGGTGGTGTTCAGGGTTTACTCCTGGCTCTACACTCATGGGCGAGGCTTGGGGAAACCTCCTGGGTGCCGGGGATCAAACCCAGAGCAGACACACGCACAGCAAGTGTTCTCCCCACTTGGATGTTGACTCCAGGCCCAACGTCATTGTGTTTTATTTTTTCTTATTGCTTTATTGAATCACCATGAGATACAATTACAGAGCTGTTCACGATCGGGTTTCAGTCATACAATGCTACAACACCCGTCCCTTCACCAGTGTCCCCAGCTTCCCTTCTGCCACCCCCTCTCCGCCCCAGCCTGCCTCTATGGCAGGCACTCTTCTTCTCTGTCTCTCTGTCTGTCTCTGTCTCTGTCTGTATGTCTGTCTCCAACCCCCCCCATTTGTGCATTATGGTTTGCAATACAGACACCAAGAGTCATCACGTTTTGTCCTTTACCAAACCTTTTCAGCACACATCTCCCATCCCGAGCGATTCCTCCAATTATCCTTGTCATAGAGGTTCCTTTTCTAACCCAGCTGCCCTCTCCCACAACTCTTTTTTTCTTTATTGATTTGCCATGAGGTATAGTAACAAAGCTTTCATGTTTGTGCTTCAATCATACAATCATCAAACACCCATCCTTTCAAGAGTGCACATTTTTGTATTTTGGTCACTGTTTCTTTTGAGGTGAAGAAGCTTCTTAGTTTCAAGATAGTCCCATTTGTCTATCTCTGTTTTCACTTGCTCGGCCAGTGGCATGTCATCTTTGAAGATACCATTAGCTTCAGTGTCATGGAGGGTTTTGCCAACCTTGTCTTCAATGTCCATTATGGATTCCAGTCTGATGTTGAGGTCTTAAATCCATTTTGATCTTACTTTTGTACATGGTGTTAGGTAGAGATATGAGCCCATTTTTTTTGCATGTAGCTGTCCAGTTTTGCCAGCAACATTTGTTAAAGAGACTTTCCTGGCTCCACTTCACATTTCTTGCTCCCTTATCAAAGATTGGCTGATCATATATTTGAGGGAGGGGCGGTGTCAGTATATTCAACCCTGTTCCATTGATCTGCGGTTCTGCCTTTATTCCAGTACCATGCTGTTTTAATTATTACTGCTTTGTTGTTGAGTCTGAGGTTGGGGAGGTTGATTCCACCCATTTTCTTTTCCCCAAGAATTGCTTTAGCTATTCGTGGGGGTTTATTGTTCCATATGAATTTCAGGAGTATTTGATCCATTTCTTTGAAGAATGTCATGGGTATCCTTATAGGAATCGCATTGAATTTGTACAATGCTTTGGGGAGTATTGCCATTTTAACAATGTTAATTCTCCCATCCATGAGCAGGGGATATCTTTCCATTTCCCTGTGTCCTGTTTTAGTTCCTGAAGAAGCGTTTTGTAGTTTTCTTTGTAGAGGTCTTTTACATCCTTAGTTAAGCTGATTCCTAGGTACTTGATATCCTGAGGCACGATTGTGAATGGGATTGTTTTTTCCATGTCACTTTCTTCTCTCACATTATTTGCATATAGGAAAGCCACGAACTTTTGGATATTGATTTTATAGCCTGCATCTTTACTATACAAGTCTATTGTTTCTAGGGGTTTCTTGGTGGAGGTTTTAGGGTTTTCTAAATATAGTAGCAGATCGTCTGATAACAGTGAGAGCTTGATTTCTTCTTTTCCTACTTGAATGCCCTTAATATCTTTTTCTTGCCTAACTGCTATTGCAAGTACTTCCAGTACTATACTGAACAACAGTGGAGAGAGTGCGCATCCTTGTCTCATCCCTGATATTAGAGGGAAGGCTCTCAGTTTTTCCACATTGAGGATGATGCTTTTTGTTGGATTGTGGTAGATGCATTTAACTACATTGAGGAAAGTCCCCTCTATACCCATTTTGGCAAGGGTTTTCATCATAAACGGGTGCTGGATCTTGTCAAATGCTTTCTCTGCATCTATTAATATGATCATATGCTTTGCATCTTTTCTTTTGTTTATATGATGGATTATGTTGATCAGTTTCTGAGTGTTAAACCATCCTTGCATCCGTGGGATGAATCCTACTTGGTCATGGTGTATGATCTTTTTGATGAGTCGTTGCATTCTATTTGCTAATAGTCTGTTAAGGATCTTTGTGTCTGTGTTCATCAGGGATATCGCCCTGTAATTCTCTTTCTTTGTGGTATCTCTGTCTGTTTTTTGGTATCAAGGTGATATTTGCTTCGTAGAAACTGTTCATAAGTGTTTTTGATATTTCAATTTCATGGAAAAGGTTACAAAGGATTGGAGTAAGTCCTCTTGAAAGATTTGGAAGAATTCACTAGTGAATCCATCTGGGCCAGAATTTTGGTGCTTGGGGAGACTTTTTATTACCATTTCAATTTCCTTGATGGTGATAGGTCTCTTCAGGTTTGTCAGGTCTTCTTGGTTCAGCCTTGGTTCAGCCTTGTAGGAATCTAGGAATTTATCCATTTCCTCGAGGTTTTCATGTTCCGTGGCATAAAGCTTCTCAAAGTACTCCCTGAGGATCCTTTGAATTTCTGTAGTTTCTGTTGTAGTGACCACCTTTTCATTTCTGTTTCAGTTTATTAGGGTTTTCTCTCTCCCTTTCTTTGTGAGTTTTGCTAGAGGTTTATTGATCTTGTTTATTTTCTTGAAGAAACTGCTCTTGGTTTCATTGATCTTTCAGATTGTTTTTTGGGTTTCCATCTCGTTAATCTCTGCTCGGAGTTTTATTATTTCCTTCCTCCTATTCAGGTTGGGCTACTTTTGTTGGTCCTTCTCCAAGCTCTTAAGCTGTGAGGTTAGGTTACTTATGTGGGTTCAGTCCTCCTTCCTGTTGAATGCTTGTAAAGCTATAAACTTTCCTCTTAACATAGCTTTTGCTGTGTCCCATAAGTTTTGGTAACTTGTGTCCTCATTTTCATTCTTTTCTAGGAATCTTGATTTCCTCTTTGATTTTCTTTCTAAGGCACTCATTGTCCAAGAGTACACTGTTTAATTTCCAGGTGTTTGATTTAGTTTTCTGTTTTTGTGTGTGATTTTACTTCTAATTTCAGCGCATTATGGTCTGAGAAGATTGTTGAAACAATCTCTATCTTCTTAATGTTATGGAGGTATGTTTTGTGGCTCAGCATGTGGTAAATCTTGCAGAATGTTCCATGCACGCTTGAGAAGAATGTGTATTCAGCTTTTTGAGGATGAAGCGTCCTGTATATATCTACTAAGTCTCTTTCTTCGATTGTTTCCCTTAGATGAAGTATGTCCTTGCTAAGCTTGAGTTTGGTTGATCTATCAAGAGGTGATAAAGTGGTGT